AGAAATAAATTTATATATATATATATATATATATATATATATATATATATATATTATTTGTTTTTTGCTGTGTAGTTTTACGTTATAAATAATTTTTTTTTTCAATTTAAATTTTTTTAATTCCTTTCTCTTCAAATTTTTTACTTACAGGTAACTTTTAGTAAAATATTTTCTATCTTATATTATCTTTATTTTTAAATTTTTTTATATAAAATTATTTTTTTCTTATATCCCTACTATATATATCTATATAAGAGTGGTTGAGTATGAAGTGGTGGGAGGAATGAAAATTGCATGTTGCAATATTTTTTTATTGTATAATAAAATATATATCACGCAAGGCAAACGACCTCGTTTTGCTCCCCCATTTAAAAAAAAAAGTTACAGTGAAACAAAATGAATTAAGTCATTGTTGCTTTCTGCAGCAACTTCACATTCTCCTATTTATATAGTAAGAAAATAAAGTTACAATTTTACTCTTATAAAAATAATTACATGTGGTCAAAATCATATCCTTGGTCAACTAACTGAAAAGTGGATGTATTCCAATCACTTGGACTCCGGACGTAGATTTTTGAAAGGTTAGAAATTTCTACTGGTACAAATTGAAAGTTAGGATGAAGTCTGCAAAAAATGAAAATGTTAGGAATCGCTGTTTCAATTTTTCCTTTAATTTAGGATAAAATTCTTAAACAAAATATAATTTAATTTAGGGTCAAAATTTCAAATTTTAGTTAAATTTAATTTTAACAATAATTTAAAAAATTATAAATTCTAAATAAAATTTTAATTGGGTCAACAGTAAAACTCAAATCAACCCTAAGCCCAAAAAAATATTTAGGCCAATGCTGCCCCTTGGTAGATCCGCGACGTTCATCGCTCATCATGTAGCAGTGGCATTTGTCGTTGCAGCATAGGGTGCAAGGCTTGCTTTCGATGATGATTGTCGCCTTCGGTAGCTATCGTCCCTTGTTATATTCGACCCATTTTTTGATAAAAAATTAGTTTTCTTTAAAACAGATTTTAGAACAAAAAATTAATTTTTTAAAAGCTAGAAATTAACAAGAAATCAACAATAATCAACCACTGATTGTTCCCAAGATTCAAATATAACTTCTAACAAATACAAAGTTGATTTTGATACCACTATTGGAAATTTACTTATACATGAACAATGAAATTTTAAAATAATTTTTCAATTCAATTCAAGGATCGTCTTTGTGTTTATCTAAAAATCATGATTAGATTTTGTATATTTGGCAAATTCTTCAAACTATTTTGAAAATCTTGATTACAATCACGATTATTGCTCATTCTTGTGAATCTTTTTTTTAACTTCATAGTTGTTCAATTGTCCAAACTTCAATGGTAATCCAAACGAAAGAACAAAAATGAGATATTAGAAATTTTCTTTCTTGTGCTAGTAAGAGTATGATATTCTAATGTGAGTTACGAAGTGTTGTAATAAAAACTCAAACCTTATTGTTTATTTATGTATGTTTATGGGTTTGACCATTTATTAAACATAAGTCGAGCCATTAATTAATTAATCTAATTAATTAACTTGAGTTTGTTAATAAAAAATCTAATTAATTAAATCTACAAATATTAAACATTTGTCAATTAATTAATTCTTAATATCATTCTTCAAGTTTTCCCTTTTGCATGAACTATTTGGTTCTTGATCATGATGTCAAACGACATGAATTATTATTTTAATCTAAGCAAAATAAGATAAATTAAAACTCTCCTTTTAATTTACAATTAATTCACATTCTCGTTCTCGATTGACATCTAATAATGTATTAGGACAATTTATATGACAGAAAATGTCTCATGGTGTGATTATACCAAACTTATTAGTTTACCATTAAACTATAATCATTTCGACAATATGATCTGATCAATTACAAGATATTAAAATGTGTCATTCTCAATTAATCAATTATATCTTTCATCATGCTCTTAAGTCAATAATCGTCGAAACTCTTTTTGACTTATGCAATTACCTTGATTAAGGATGAAACTGTGGTGACCTCAAGTCGAAGCATCAATTCTACTACTGATCATTAGAATCAGAAACTATAATCATTTCGACAATATGATCTGATCAATTACAAGATATTAAAATGTGTCATTCTCAATTAATCAATTATATCTTTCATCATGCTCTTAAGTCAATAATCGTCGAAACTCTTTTCGACTTATGCAATTACCTTGATTAAGGATGAAACTGTGGTGACCTCAAGTCGAAGCATCAATTCTACTACTGATCATTAGAATCACCCGTTGACACTCAAATAGTTATCAATGTGGAATCCCTACAACGGGTCTTCAATGATTTTTTATTTTATTTTATTAAAACATCTATACATCCATTTAAATGTCGCTACATTTTAAATTGTGAGATCAGTTACTAATTTTATAAATGAGAAATAAGACACACGTATTGTTGCATCCTTAATAACAATATTCGTATTTCATTATTATTTACGATCACTGATATTTTAAAATTTAGGCATATATGTATTTGTATCTCATAATCACAACTCTTTGTAATTAACAAGTTATCAAGACATGAATCTACGGACTCTAATAATTTAATATATCAAAATAATAGATATCTCATATATAAAAATATATCAATTATATATTAAAAGTATTTATGTCCAAAATCGATTGGAACTAGATTACCAAACTTATATAATTGGGGTGAAAGGCATAGCGTTTTTTGTCTAAGAAACTCAATACCCAATATAAATGGATAGACAAAAGGCGATGATAGATATGATAAAAGCAAAACCAGTTGCACCATCCTGAGAGCTCCCAGATGCTGCTTTGATGTATGTAGAAGAGCTAGGAGTTACGTCCAGAGGTACCCAATCACAGCTTACAGTATAATGCTCTGAACTATTCCATGGATTTCCATTAATAGGGTACCAGAATGCAACAGAAAATTTGCTTGATTGGCCTATTGTAAATTGTACATCCTACAAAAAGGAAAATAAAGTTATCCTTAGTGCCTTCATAGCTTTCAGAGCCTGGCCAAGACAATAAATGCTAACTAAATCTTTTAACTAATTAGTGAAGTTGTCCATCAGAGGAAGTTAATAACATCAATCCCATTTTAACTTTTCAGAAGTTTCAAATCGTGTCATCATCGTCCAAAACAAATTGAATATTTCAGATTCAAAAAATGTACACCTCTTTTAAGCAACCATGACTTGTATATTTTAGTACCATGTATTGAGTTTGTCAAATATGAAAGTTGAAAGGACTGCAATCGAGAATTCGTAAATTTAATATCAATTTTAAAAGGTGACTCTAATCTGCAAGCAACAAGGAAAGAATGTGCACAAAAAGGCAAATAGAGAAGAAACGAGCAACTGAAAAGACAAAACAACCTGTTGAAGACAATCCATGGTTCTCATGGGCCTTGTGAACTCAAAGTAGTATGTACCATTTTGACCAGATGATGCATAAGGACTATCTTCCTCAATGAAACCTGTCAATCGAGGTCAATTAAGACGGATAAGAAGCTAAGGTTCCATGCTTACAAAAACATCATAATTGTTCTTATCATATACACTGAACTATATATTTTTGTTATATAAATTCTTTTATGGCAGCTAGAATCAATTGGAAATGCAAAAGAATATAGTGATGCATTGCACAAAAAATATTTATCTAGATTAGTTTGGATATGAAAACCTCTAAATTACCAATTGAACTTCAAGAGAGGAAGCAGAAAGATAGTAATGCAGATTTTATTTATTTGGTAGTAAAATGAAGTCCTTTTAACTAGGATACTCCGATCCGAAAAAAAAGAAAAGAATTTGTTGAAATTATTGTTCAAAATCAACAAAACATGCTTTGGAATGGAAAAGCCTTTGGAGGTCAAGAATTTGACTTATATGATCGCATAGGCCTGTGTAGTCTGCGGTCGCATAATGATATGTAGGGCTTATATACCCTGCAAGAGATTGACCTATGTGATGGCATAGGATTGTTAAAAAAAAAAAAAAGCCTTTAAGGTTGGTTTTTTGTTTGACATTCTTGGTGACATTTGGGGAAAAGCATGCAACTTTTCATGATTTTTTGGCACTATTTTGCGGGTTTTGATTGAAATATATAGATACATATAGATTATCACATCAAAAACACAATTCTCGACAACTTCAGATCAAATCTTCATTCCAAAAGAAAGAATTTATATTCCTTCATTCATATTCAAATTTCTTTCAAAAATGTTCTTGAAGTTTTGATAGAAAATCTAAATGGTTAAGTGCTTTTCTATTGTAAGGCTCGATATCCTTTAAGCATCAAATTCATCCAAGATGGGGTAAATATTGTTTGAGGACAACGAATTTCGTGTTTAAACCTTTATGTTTTATTCCGATGTTCTCAATTTCATTCTTAGTTTCTTCTCCAAACCCCTTGTATGGAAGCAATTTTCCAACAATTTCAAACAATATCCTGCAATGAAAAACAAAACTATGATGGCAACGATCAAATTGATGAATCAAGATCTGGTCCACCTAGGGCATTTTGATGGGACAAATTTCACAAGATGACAAGACAAGTTGAAGTTCCTTCTCACAGCATTGAAGATATTCTACATCATTGATTCGGATTTGGCACACTACCAAATCCAACAAATGAAGAAATCGATGACTTAGGAGTCGAAAGGAAAAAGCATCAAGAAGATGAACTTATACGCTACGGTCATATTCTTAACACTCTATCCGACCAATTATATGATCTCTATACGAATACGTCATTGGCAAAAGAAATATGGGATGCTTTGGAAAACAAGTACAAAGTCGAAGAAGAAGGTAGTAAGAAATTCCTAATTTCAAGGTATTTCAACTTCAAATTCCTTGGTAACATTTATCTTCTTTTCCAAGTACATGAATTACAAGTGCTTATCAATAAGTTGAAGGCAATCGAATTTGAGATCCCGAAATCTTTCCAAATAGAAGCAATCATTGCAAAACTCTTAGAGACTTGGAAAGAATATCGAAAGAAAATAATGTATAGTTCCGAAGATTATTGTTTAGAATAAGTGCAAAAACATCTTCAAATTGAATAAAATTTAAGGGCAAGAGATAAGAATGACAATTCTTACGAAGGTATTTCAAAGGCCAATACCGTGGAAAAGACCAAATCTTCAAATAAATCCAACAAGAGAAAATCTTCTGAAAACTTTAACAAGTTTAAGAAGAAGTCCAAGTGACATTTCTTTATACGTGGGAAACCCGGACGTTATACAAAGAAAGGTTGACATCAAAAATAAAATAACTTCGAAAGAAAGGTAAACTCCATCAAAAAAGACAATATTGTGGCCATCTTAAGCAAGATCAATGCAATCAACAAAAAAAGTTGGTGGTATGATATATGTGCAACTGTACATGTATCATATGATAAGTCTTTATTCAAGGCCTATTATGAAGTGGATGGTGATCAAGGATTCAAATGGGTAATGAAGGCCGCTCTAAAGTTAGTGGAAAAGAAAATGTAGAGATTATCTTACTTCTGAGAAAATCATTACTTTAACAAATGTACCACATTTTATTGAAATGGATATGAGCTTAGTTAGTGGTAATCTTTTAGGAAAATTGGGCATATAAGGTGTTCATCAGTCTAGTAAACTTGTATTATCCCTAAATGGGAAATTTGTTGAAAAATGTTATTATAGTGAAAGAATGGTCAAACTCTGTACTGTTGATAAAATTATTAATAGTTTTTTTTTTTTTGCTTTTATTATTGATTCATTTACTTTATGGTATACTAAATTAGGTCACATAGGTAAGAGTACTATAAAAAGAATGTTAAAATGTGACTTAATATCATATAATAAAGATGATACATTTAAATGTAAAACATGTGTAGAATCTAAAATGACTAAGAAACCTTATCAAAGTGTAAATAGGACTTCTAATATTTTAGAATTGATTCATATGGACATATGTGAATTAAATGGTTTTGTTAACTAGGGGTGGAAATATATATTTTATTACCTTTATAGATGATCACTCTAAATATACTTATATTTATTTAATGAAACATAAACATAAAGCTTTTAAAATGTCTAAAACATATAAAAATGAAGTTGAAAATCACTTAAGTATGAAAATAAAAACTCTAAAAAATGATAGAGAAGACGAATATTTTCTAGTAATTTTAACCTATTTTGTGAACAACAATGTATAATTTATCAATATTCAGCACCTAGGATATCCAAACAAAATGGTTTGACTGAAAGGAAAAATAAAACTTCAATCGAAATGATAAATGCTATGTTAACTTGTGCTAAGTTGTCATTTAATTCATGGGGTGAAACATTGTTGAGTGTATGTATAATATTAAATAGAATTCCTTCGAAATTTACAAATATTCCTCCTTACAAATTGTGGAAATGAAGAAAATCTAACATTGGATACTTCAAAATGTAGGAATGCCTTGTATATTGTAAGGACACGAACTCTAATAGGATAAAGTTTGATCCAAGAGGCATTAAATGTGCTTTTGTTGGTTATGCTACTATTAGCAAATCATATAGATTGTTAAATTTGGAGACCAATATAATAATTGAATCAAGTGATGTTGAGTCCTTTGAGAATTCACTATTCTCAAAAAATGAATTAAGAGAAACTTACAATGAGATCTCTAGCTCTAGTGGAACTCAACATGAAACATCTTTTAAAGATATTCATGAATTTAGTGAATCATGAAGAAGCAAAAGAACTCCAATTGAGAAGTCTTTAGGACTTGGTGAAATTGACTCTCAACTTATTTCATTTTATCTAGTAGAAGGAAAGGAGAAGAATGTAGCAAGAACAATTCATTTAGTTCTTCAAGTGGAGATTGATCCTAACACTTATAAATAAGCGATGACTTCTCGTGATAACGTCTTTTGGAAATATGCAATTAAGGATGAGATAGATTCAATTATGTCAAATAATACATGAAAACTTGTTGATTTACCACCGGATTCAAACATATTGGATGTGAATGGGTGTTTAGGAGAAAATACAATATTGATGGTTTTCTTAATACCTTTAAAGCTAGATTGGTAACTAAAGAGTATCAACAAAAGAAAAAAAATATATTATTTTGATATCTATGCATTGGTAGCAAGAATAACTTCAATTAGTGATGTGATCCATGGCACGAAGCACGAAAGCAAGTACGGACAATGATCCACTGATCGTTGAAGAAGGGCCTATGACTGGTCACGAGCGAAGAAGGTTAAAGAAACGATGAAATTACTTGCTCAAATCACATGGACGAAACATTGATCATGATAAGCAAAAAATAAAGACTCATGTTGCACTCAGGAGAAGAAACACGATAGATCAACTTGGTTCAAGTAATAGACGAAGAAGCTGAAACGGGGCTTATGTGACCACATAGTGCAAAACTACATGTGGCGCATGTAACTAGGCAGAAAATCCAGCTAAAAAGTTAAAGAGTTCTATATGACTGCATCCAATAGAACTGTGCGACTGCAAAGTTCAAATTGTGTGCAAAATTTTCCAAAATTTGCGAAATCTTCTAATTTAGTTAAAACTCTATATTTTTGGTATCTTTTGTAATATTTAGAATTCGGTTTGGTTTGGTTTTAACTAGGTTTACAAACCTAATTTAATTAAAACTCTATATTTTTTGTATCTTTTGTAATATTTAGAATTTGATTTCGTTTTAACTAGGTTTATATGAGTTGATTATACACAGAACTCATTATTTTCACTGTAAAACAATTTTGATATATATAACTTAAGAGATTATTTTGTGAGCGTATTTTGATTTCAATCTTTGTTCTTCAATGAACTAATTTGGTCCCAACCAAGTTTTATTCTCGAAGAATTCAAATTAGGATTTGAGTGAGAAATTGTAATTTAGATGACTCAAGAAAGGAAAGATATTGTATACTGTTGGCAATTCTTGAAATTTTTTAAATTCGATTTTTTTTTAATTCATATTTTTTTTTTTTGCTCGAAAATTGAAAGGATTTGATAAGTTCCATTCAATTAAGAACAAGATAGAAAGTGAAAAATCTCACATTATGATTATTTCTCAAGAAATTAATGTCTTTATTGTATAATGAATGAGCCTTTTATAGGCATAAAACAAATTCCTAATAAAAATAAAAATCTAATTCTAAAGACAAATCCAAATAAACTAGAAACTACAAAACAAATATAAAAAAAAATGACAAATAACGAAAATATCCTTAAACTAATTTAAAACTTAAAAATGCAAAAATGAACCCTTGAAAAACCAATTTTGACTCCCAAAGTTCGACATATCATCCGTCAAACTTGAGTAGAATCTAAAGACATTTTCGAATTGTATTTATAGGCGAAAATCCGACAACCAAGTAGAAAGTTATACGCATTTTTGTACATCCTTTATGTTTTTACACATACTTTATATTCATTCCATTTTCTAATTGGTTTAAGATATTCTCTTTTAATTGATCCATACCAATTCGGAACATAC